ACTCCTATGACCCTCAGAGTCCATAGGGTTAGCTGGTATAAACCAGGCCCCTTTCCTCCACAGCTTTGAATTATTTGAAGTTAGAGTCTTAACCACTGAGATGCCTAGAGGTGTAGATTGGCCTAAAACAACAGAGAATGATGCCTCAACAGTTCACATCAGTTTATTCCACCTGAAGATTCAGGAAAGATGCAAATACTACGTGTTATTCTAATATTTCTTAGCTAGCACCTGTTCAAGCAACACTTCTATTCATTCTTTCTTTTTAAAGATTCTGGTTTTGTGTTAAATGTGCTTGAGGGAAAGCCATTGCTCCTCTTATGTTTTTCTTGGCTTTTTCTTTCTCTGCCTTATGGACAACTATGTTCTACAACTAAGCAGAAAATAAACCTTCAGCTGAAAAGAAATTTTGCTGCTTGGAGACAAATGATGTTATGTCAAACTGGTACTGATACATCCATCAGACTACAGTTTTTACTTCAAATGACCAGAGGAAACAACAGGCTATCCTTCACCATATCGGCAAATGCCACCTCCAGAGCTCTTCTGGCTCCTGCTGCCCCAGAATCCAAATTATAAACCTGATCCATCAACTGAGACAGCTGGGCTGCATGGCCATACTCTGCCAGCCACCAACAAGCAGCAAACTTTGGTCACTCCAGAAGCTGCAGACAGGCCTGTTACTACCCTGAGCATTCTGTTTCATTTCACGTCACTGGCAAAACCTTTCTTCCCAATGGGACTTGGTAGCTCTGCTGCAATCCACTACAGCACTCAGTGTTAGTGTTACACTTGATTGAATACAGCAGAACCCCAGTTTAGGGAAAATCTTCCAGATCCAGGTAATATCAAACATTGCTAGCTGGTCTCTTTTGCACAAAAAAACCAACCAAACTTCTCAGTTAACCCAAGCTGCAAGCATAACCACTTAGATCTTTGTCACAGAGCTGCATTATTAAGAAAGTAAGACATGGGTATTCTCTCAAGCCCATTTCTTTCTGTTAATGGCTGCATTATTGCTACTATTCAGTCCATTAGACAATCCAAACAAGTATCCCCATTAAGCAATAGAAGTTTTGACAAAGGCAGTGAATTTGGCTGGAGTAGATGATCAGATTGGTTGATAATTCACTGATATTGAGACAAGTAAGAAAATCAAAGTAACTTCTGACTGCTGAGACAAAATTGCTGCCTTGTGCAAAGTCCAAGGTCAAAGGGTCAGGGTATTGCTAATACTCTACTGCATTTCCTCCCAGTCACAAACAGCTGGGCAACCTCCCCAGACAAAAAGTACTTGCAACCGTAGATTGCCCTAAATTATAAAACCCAGCTTTCTGCATGTGCACACTTAAGGAAAAGGTTACAACACGCAAAACACTGAAAGCACATCTACATGCAAGAGTACACATACATACAGCAGGGAACAGCAGAGAAATAAGCAGGTC